AAGGGGAAAACCTTTGAAACTTTATATCTCTACCTCTGAAAAGTCAACAGGAAGCCTGCTATCCCAGAACAATGAAGAGGGGAAGGAGTAAGCCATATATTACCTCAGTAGAATCCTTACTGAGGTAGAAACCAATTACACCCCAATTGAGAGGCTGTGTTTGGCTTTATATTTCACTGCTAGTAAGCTAAGGCATCACATGTTTCCTTACCATATCTATATTATTGCCAAGACTGATGTGATCAAGTATATGTTGTCAAAACCAATGTTAACTCGAAGAATTGGAAAATGGATTCTAGCACTATCAGAGTTCGATTTTCAATATGTGCCTCAAAGAGCAATAAAGGGGCAAGTAATTACAAATTTCTTGACTGAGCACCAAGAATCACAGGATGAACTTGTCAACATCCCAGGAACTTTGAAGGTGGCCAGCATTTGGATCCCACTGATGTGGTATAAACTAACACACAAATTAAACCCTATAATTTAGATGATTGTAATATGAGTAAGTAGAGATCGTTCTAGGCCAAGGATTAGGAGGGATGCTAATCAACTCAAATTAAACTTAAAAGCTGAAAACTAAGCTAGACTAACACAAAATAAGAACTGAGGGGGGTTTTGACAAATTTTAACAAACAAAAATAAATAGCAGCAATTAAACTAAGTTGTAAAGGGAATATGGGTGAAAAGCTAGCTAGAGGATTCTTCTCCACACATGAAACATATGCACATAAATCGATTTCCAGTTATTCTTTCTATAAACCATGAATGACAATGCCCCAAATTAATTGTGAACAGCACTAATTAACTCTTAAATTTTCCTAAGTTCATTGAATTAGACTTAACAACGCAACCAAATTATTCTTCTCAAGTTCCCTAACTATGAAAAGCATGATAGAGACACATATCAAAGGTCATTAATTTCTGTGAAAATCATAAGCATTGACAAGGCATTCGTAACTATGAAAAGTATGATACTCCTGCCATGGATTTACTTAACTCAATCATGACTAGTGACTTTTACTACTTATAAATATAAGTTCATAACGATTAGGTGAAATTCCCTTATATTCTAGCATCAAATCCCTGCATGCAAACTAAGTATGCATCCTTAATAAACATACAAGAATAAGTTCTCTATAAAACAGATAAGTAAATCGCATTAATGTTTTACGAAGCAATAATTAGATGTAGTCAATTCATATCAAACATATGATCATGCCTTTGAATTCATCTCTAGCTTAAAAGAAATTTAGTAACACATGTTCATCATAATTGAAAAGCAATCTAAAATAAACATTGAAACTAAACAAGGATAGAAAGAACTCTGAAAATCTCCAATGGTTGAATGCAATATGCGGCACACTCATTCTTCTCTGATCCTTGCAGGTTGCGACACAAGCTTTGAATAAGGCATGCGGCACAAGTCTTCTCCCCCAATTGCTGAGCCAGAAATACATATATATAGGGTAGGGTTCGGCAGAAACCAAGGAGAAAAAGGATTAGGGTGTTTGAATGGATTAGGACTCCTAGAATCAGATGGGAGGTATTTATAATAGGATAAGGACTTTTTTTGCAGTTGGAGATAATATGAGATAATGTTGTATAAAATGGGATAGTGTTTGGATAAGGTTAGATAAGATAAGATAAGTCTAGATAAGGTTGGATAAGATTATATTTTTCCTTGTCTTCCAAGCTTCCAAATTGATTCCTCCAGATTTTAGCACATATTTAGCACATGTTAAACACCAAAAACGTCCAGCCCTACTGCTCCACACGTATGCTAACCAATCCAAGTCCAAAACTGCTTCAAATTGCTTCATTTAGCCATTTATTGTCATCTTTACCAGTTGGACCTACAATAATACGAAATTAACATAAATTACCAAAATAAATGGAAATTAACTAAGAAAATGAAAAGAAATAAGATAACAAAGTCACATAAATATGCTCTTATCACCCACCAAGTGGTATTCTCTCGAGCAAGGAAGAATGAATTCAACAAAAGGTAAAGAGAATAACCAGCCTCTGGATCACTCCTTAGAGGTTGTATTTTGATGGATCTTGTACTCAACATGCTGTTGGGGTTGGAATTATCATTATTGATCCCAAGGGTGTTCAACATTGTTATTCATTCCTTCTGGATTATCAAGATACCACCAACAATCGGGCAGAGTACGAAGAACTAATAATTGGCTTGGAAATCCTGAAAGATTTAGAGGCAACTGAAGTTTAGGTGTTTGGTGATTCAAAGTTCGTGATCAATCAGCTAAATGGAGATTATAAGTGCAGAAACATCACCGTGGCAGGTTATTACTTGGAAACTACTCAGTTGTTAAGTTATTGGGGCACTGAACTATCAGTCAATCATATCTCCAGAGAATTGAATTAATTGCTAATGAAATGGCACAATTGGCTTCCGGAACACAGATTCAAGAAAGAAGGTTCAAGGTGGATGTGGAAGTACAAAGGAGAAATTTCCCTTCTATGTTTTAAAGAGGGTTCAGCCTAGATATAATGACCAAAGAACCTGAGATAAAAGACTGGAGAACACCCTTCACCCAGTGCTTGAAAGATCCTTCATTCCCCACAAGTAAGAAGAATAGGCAGCAAGCAACTAAGTATGTCATGTGGGATAGAACTATGCTAAGGAAGACTCCAAATGGTCTTCTATTGAAATGCTCGGGCTTGGAATAATCAATGAGAGTGATGGTCGAAGTACACGAAAGTATTTGTGGAACACACTAAGCTAGAAGCAAGATGAGGTGATTATTGAGAAGTATGGCTACTTTTGGCCCGATATGGAGAAGGATTGTAAAGCCTATGCTAAAGGTTGTGAGGAATGCCAAAGACATTGACCTCTTTAACATGTGCCATCAGTACCCTTGAATCCTATAGTGAAGCCTTGGCCTTTCAGAGGATGGGTAATTGACTTCATCAGGAAAATTTACCCAGCCTCCAGCAAAGGGTACACCTTTATAATTGTGGTAACAAACTACTTTACCAAGTGGATAGAAGCCTCAGCTGTGAAGACTATCACTTTAGTTGCTGTGAAGAAATTCATTGAAACGAAGATTTTACATAGATATGGGGTGCCCAAGATAATTGTTACCACGAGGCTTGAATAACTCAATCAGAGCTTTCTCAACTTCTTGAAGGATCTTCAGACTAAAAGAGGCTGTGAAGTCCTTAATGATTCAGCACTAATCCTGGAGGTTGAGGCTCCGAATGGCGCCTTAGAGACCTCAGCTTGGTCCTGATCTGCCGGAACGTTCTGACAAGTTCGGGCAAGGAGGCCATGACTGGAATGGATGCGAAAGGTGGGGGCACCACTACAGCTCCCCTGGAAGTAGTAACAGTGGAGATAGCTTTAACGGGCATAGAAAGAAGAAACTCAAAAGCAAAAGTGGGGGCGATAGCAGCAGTCTTCTTCGACCAAGGGATAGAGACCCCCGTGACCTCAGAAACCTTGGGAGGCCTAGGGAGAACCACTTTACACACTAAAGGCTAGGGAGGCTTGCCTAAACCATCACCAGAAGCCTATTAAACCAAGAAAAAGTGAGTTAGGAGAATGGCTGCAATTGAAATTAAAGAAAACCAAATAAGAAAAGTTGGTATACCTAAGTCGAGCTTGGAGCTTTAGGAATAGGTGAAGGTGGTGTTATTATCTTTGATGGTTGAGGAAGGTCAACCTTGCTTGCTGAATAGGGATGAGAGTTGTCCGAGCGCTTACCAGAAGCCTATTACACCAAAAGAAAACATAAGTGTTAGCAAGTCAATTCGTATAAGGAAAAGACAAGGGTAAAACACCTATATACCTGTGAAGACCCTCAGATTTTCGGGAGAGCCTTTGTGGTTGCAGTTGCCTTAGAGGATGCAACTGAGCTAGCCCAAGAAAAGGCTAACGGCACCCTTAGGCCAGTTGCCTCTGAGACCATGGGGATCTCATGGACTATAAGTTCCCCAAAGGTAGTTGGTGGCTGGCGAGTGGCTTCATGCAATAGAGAAGACTGGCACAAGCAATACACAAGTTTTATATTAGTAAGGAAACTTGAAAAAAAGATGAAAGGAAGAGATTGAGAAGAAAAGTGTTACTGGAGCATTGTTATCTTCTACGTAGTGCAACATCTCCCCAGTCCTTGGATTGAACTAGGAGGTGGGAGTCACCACCATCGAATGAGGGAGAGTAGAATAGGTAAGGATTGAACTTTGTCTGATTGAATGGACAGATGCTCCAGCCTTTTACTACAAGAAAAGGAAAATGAATGTTAGTCTCGAAACCTGAGAATTCACAACTTAACCAAGAATGGGGAAGAATTATACCTTTAAAGGTTTGGCCCGAGGAGGAGAAAGTTGCGCTACTTGGGCTGAAGGAGATAAGGCCTTGAGTTGGGTCATCCCTTTCCCTCTAGTGCCTTATTTCAAAAAGACAAATAAAGAGTCGTGCAAGTATTGAAGAAAGTGAATTTCAAGAATCGCTAAAGGCTTAGAGAATGGGAATTATACTTTCAACTCCTCGAGAATGGTATCAAGGATTGCCTTATCCTTTGGCTGGACTTCGGCGCCCAACTACCCCTCTTTGGGAATGGGGGCAGGTTTCTTAGTTGCTAGATGCCCTAGTTACAAGAAAGAATGAGGTGTTAGTTTATGCCCCAAGATAAATTGAAACTGCAACTAAGAAAAGAAGATTAAAGCTGAGATCACTTACTAAAGGATTTTTGTTTCTTCCTGCCTACTTTAGTTGGAGGGGCAGTGGAGGATTTGAAGGCCTTAGAAGTTTGAGCTCCGGTCCTCTTCCTTGTGGGAGTTGCTCTCAGGCCAGGTAGAGCGAGGTGAGGCTGAGGCCGCTACTCGGGCTCGGACTCTAATGATTCTACCACAGTCGCTCTTGTTCGTCAAGGTGCCCGAGTCTCTACTTCGGGTCCAGCCTCAGCCTCTGAACCTTCAAAAAGCTCGAAGATGTCCCCAGTATCTCTAGCAGTCTGGTTGGACCCTACTTCTTATCTTGCAGCCTCTTGGAGGACGAGTGCATTTGCAGCTTCCTCTTCTGGCCCGACGTCCACCTCTTCAGTGTTGCCTTGGGCTGCAAAACAAGAATAAAAATTAATGAGTGACAAGATAGAAGGGCACCACAAAGAAAATTAAGACAAAAAAGATAAGACACTAAAATATACCTATAAGAAAAAGCTGGTTCTTCTCATTGACCATCTCCTTCCAATTTTTTAGCTCATCCTTCTTAGGGTAGGATTTGAATAAGAGTTGGCCGAAGAAACAATCATGGGCCTCCAAGATATCTCCCCCATACTTCTTCGATCACTTGGCCTCTCACCAAGTGGCAAATAGAGGAGTGTGTTGATGCACAAAACCGGAGGGGTCTTGGAACAACGTAAATCCGACCGTGAATCTGCAAGAAAGTAAAGAACACAAGATGTATCGTGGTTCACCCTAATGTTTGGGCTACGTCCACACTGATATTGATTGTATTTCTTTGTAACTGTATATATGGATTACAAGCTCAAGGGGAATCCCCCTGAGGAAGAGAGTGTTGTTGTGTTTGTGAGGGTATTGCCTTCTGTTGGGTTCATTGAGTCCCATTTGTGAGGGGGGAGGAGTCCCCTTTTATAGAATAAGGGGCTCCTCCTTTTACATAATTATGGGCTGGGTAATGAGGCCCAAATGTTGAGGCCCAATGTGTCAAGGTCTGAGGCCCAATATGTGTGGTACCAACAGTAGTTCCCCAAGTCTTTAGTCAAGAAAGTCTTTTGGTTAGAGACTTGAAATTCAATCCATGTATGGGCCGAAGTGGCGGTTGTTCGGAGGCGGTCTTTGTATACCATGCACTGAAGCTTTGTAGGTGAAGCTTTGAAAGTGAAGCTTTGAAGCTGTATCTTTTGTAAATGAAGCTTTTAAAGTCGGAGCTTTGTAAATGAAGCTTTCGAAGCTGGATCACTATAAATGAAGCTTTCAAAGCTGGAGCTCTATAAATGAAGCTTCCGAAGTAGATTGACATGAGTGATGCTCATGAACGTTTATGTTGATTGACATGAGTGATGCTCATGAATGTTGACATGAGTGATGCTCATGAATGTTTATGAATGTTTATGTATGATTAACATGAGTGATGCTCATGAATGTTTATGTATGATTGACATGAGTGATGCTCATGTATAATTTTAGAGTACTGGGCGTACTTTTGATCACCTAGTTGGTGATAATAGTGGCAGGCTGCCGAATAATTTTGGAGTACTAGACGTACTTTTGATCACCTGGTTGGTGATAATAGCGGCAGGGTGCCGAATAATTTTAGAGTACTGGACGTACTTTTGATCACCTGGTTGGTGATAATAGCAGTAGGCTGCCAAATAATTTTGGAGTACTGAACGTACTTTTGATCACCTGATTGGTGATAATAGTGGCAGGCTGCCGAATAATTTTGGAGTACTGGACGTACTTTTGTTCACCTGGTTGGTGATAAGCAAGTGGGTATCCGGTCAGACAAGAGATCACCATGAGCACGTGGCTCATCAGTCTATAAGTTGGTAGACTTCTTTAATCAGCAACAATGTTGATTAGTGAATCTAGTTGTTCAATAATTCCTGACAATAAGTGACAGTATAATTATGACTGTATAATGAATAAATCAAATTGACAAAGTTTGTCAAGGCAAAATGTTGCACTGTGTGCCTTCTGTGAATAAATGATTTATTCTGTTGTGTGATAAATGACATGTTGCATAAACCAACAATATATTAGGTATTGCCTAAATGTGTGTGTATATATATATAATCATGAATAAATGATTTATTCAGTTGTCTGATAAAGCACATGTTGTACAAGTGACATAGTTTAAAGGCAGTCACAATATTCTAGGCCATGAATAAATATTGCACATGTACTTGGGTTAAATATGTGTCACTAGGTGATGAATAATATATATACATACAGGGAGCTTAAGGGGAGGGATCCCCATTTTTTAAAAAAAAATGGGGACACGCTCCCCACCGTTAGATTGACTTTAATGAAATTGTGTGGTTGAGATTAAAACACAGGCCATAGAATCTCAACCACAGGATTTCATTTAATTCAAATCCAACGGTGGGGAGCGTGTCCCCATTTTTTTGAAAAAATGGGGATCCCTCCCCTTAAGCAATTCCTATATACATATATATTATATATTTTTATTCAAGTTGTTGATATCCAATTTGGTCAGACTTGTCACATGTTATGGGAAATAGTCATGTGATAAACTATTAATAAGATACAAAGACTAATGATATTATAACAGAATTAAGCAGCGCATGAACAACTAGTATGTAGCCTGTAATGTTGTTCATAGTGTGTGTGATATAAGGACATCGTGCGGACTAGCCTGTATATTTTCGACTGCCAACTCACATCCACTTTCAGTAAATAAAATAACAAAAGAAAAAGTAAAGATATCATCATGCTGTTTGTGTGGAAGGTTTAAAGCAAAAGTTGGGATGTATTCACTTTAAGTAAAGATACCCAATCTGTGGAGGTAAGCTCCACTTTACAACTCTTTTGTGCTTTTGTTATTTTCTTTTTCCCAATATCATGATTGATTCCAACCTTTCAATTTTATTATTCCATTAGCAATAGTGAAAGCTTTTGTGAAGTGTCAGCAATCATGTAATAAATATTATAAAATAATAATGAGATATTAAATAAATAGAAATAATTTGTAGAAGATGGAGTGTTTATCTTCTCCGATGGATTGTTGTCGGAGACGACACCTTTCCTGCTGAGAAATTGAAGCTCCACCATAAGCAACAACAATCTTTACCCCACTCTGATAACAACGTAGGCAAGTCCAGCAACTTTTTCTCCTGCAAAAGAACTTCATGATCTTTTGGACTGAGAATATCAGCAAGATGAGCACCAGGATCACTATTAGAAGATATTCAATATAACACCATAAAAACACGTCGGCTCAATTCGACTCCCCAACAATGACCCCCACCACCAATTCCCTAGTGCCGCGATGAGGGAAATCATACCACCTGCTCCTAAACTGTAGGAAGCTATCCAGAAATTAATGCAACGATGCATCACTAGCCACTTGTCCCCAAAACTCCTTTGGGTTTAACTTTAGCAAGCGAGAGAGCTTTCTATTAAGAACATCCACCACTTTTTGCAACTCTAGGGCGTCCAATCCACCTTCGTTGGCGCCCAGCCTAACCGCCACCACCTCGTCTAAGGTAAGTAACTTACGAAATTGCTACACTGCGCTCTGCTCGGCACCCACTCTCCTTTCTCCCTCATCCGAACCCTGCCCCCCGACGGCAGTGCCAGAGCAACGGTGGAAGTTTCGGGATTAGATTACTGCTTGGAGAGCGATTGCCAGAGTGAGGTGGAGAGCGTGGAGTTGGGATTAGGCTCTCGAGGGATTAGATTGTTGTGGTCTGGATTCTTGGGGATGAAGACCTTTTGGGGTTTTGGGAAACCATTGCTTCTGGCAAGCTAGAGGTGAGAGTTTCGGTTCGACATGTTCTCTCTCATGTTGGCACCTAGAAGATCTTGAGGATTGTCATTTCATTGTTGACGAAAGTTCAGCTTTCTATAAGGACCTTATCCTGACTCATGAGGTAGAGAGGAGCAATGGAAACACCATCTTTTGTTCTTTGTTAAGAACTTGTAGACAGGGTCGAGGTCGTACAGCCGCTTGACATTACCGTTGGGTAGCGTGCAGATGGAGTAAGTGAAGATGGAGTAGTTAGCCAGGAGGCGCAGCATGCGGTCCAGCATGACGGGGATGTTAGGGTTCTTGGTCGGTAGCTGCGAGGCTAAGTTCGCCAGAGAAAAGAAAGCGCCAGGCCCGGCTTTCGTCATGATCTCAAGGAGGTCAAGCTCGAGGGCTGTCTTGAGCACCATGTGGAGAGTGAGGGCGTTGGCTAGCTGCATGGCGAAGAGGTTTGTTTCTTCGTCGGAGACTTGGGTTGGAGTCATCTAAGTCTCTCCGATCGAACCCATTTTTTGGATTTGGTGTTGGTAGAGAGAAAGAGAGCATGCGAAGGTTTTCTGGAAAAGCTAAAGAGTGATGTTTTGGATTCTTGGGTTATGCAGATTCACGGTGGAGGTTGTGAAGTTTTCACGGTGGTGAGATGAAAAATTGAAAGAGAACCGACACAGCTTTTCATGTCGATTCCCATAGACGGCGCCAAATGTTGATGCACAAAACTGGAGGGGTCTTGAAACAACGTAAATCTGACCGTGAATCTGCAAGAAAGTAAAGAACACAAGATGTATCGTGGTTCACCCCAATGTTTAGGCTACGTCCACACTAATGTTGATTGTATTTCTCTGTAACTGTATATGTGGATTACAAGCTCAAGAGGAGTCCCCCTGAGGAAGAGAGTGTTGTTGTGTTTGTGAGGGTATTACCTTCTGTTGGGTTCATTAAGTCCTATTTGTGAGGAGGGGAGAAGTCCTCTTTTATAGAATAAGGGGCTTCTCCTTTTACATAATTATGGGCTGGGTAATGAGGCCCAAATGTTAAAGCCCAATGTGTTAAGGTCTGAGGCCCAATATGTGTGGTACCAACAGAGTGCACTCGAAGTTGAAAGCCACAAGCTTAGAGGTGATTCAACTCATCACCTCCAGGCTACACTGAGCTACTTGAAATATCACATTGACGAATGAGTGAAGAGCATAGAATCAAAGAATGGCATTGGGATCGCCTGCCTGAAACCCAATTGTCAACCACAAAAGTTTGGGTAGTAGACCTCCAGCCTGCGTTCGTAGCCCATGCGATCGCTCCTAACTCCCTATGCCAGATCTCTTTACTAGATGCAACTCACAAATTTTCCTTGCATTAGCTACTGGTATCCTCTCCAAATGCATCTTGGAAGATTTGGTCAGAGAACCATGGATATCTTCGTAGCACGGAGGCACCCCACTCTAAATCTACCCTAGTCAAGCAAACTCTAAAGAAGTAAAGCCATGAAAGTGTCGAGTGGTTGGTGGGAGAAGCATCGGCCAAAATGCGGGCTAAAGCCACTCCTTCAGGGAACTCCAGGTTGGGTGCTCAGAACTCAGGGAAGTACCATTAGAGCCACAACTAGACCATCCAGGTATTTGAGATTGGTCTCAAGAGGTTTAACACTGGTCATTTCATACAGAAGATGGTAAAGGTGTGCAAGAATGAAAGGCCTCGTGGCAATATCATCGAAGGAATAGATGGCTTCCACCAAAGGGATCCACTTCAGCTTCACTTATTTGGATTTGTTCAGAAACATGTGCTTGTTGAGCTAGTATAGGAGGAAATAAATGTGTTATTGGTCCTTGTCCATAGTGGAGGAGGGCGGGCTAAAGGTTTTATTCGTGAATGGAATGAAGTATGCGAAGGACGTCCCGTAACTCTTGAAGGTGAATGGAGTGTACTTTAGGCGAGTAATGGACTCTGAAACACCCGAGGATTCAGTGGTCAAGCAAGAAGATGAAGACCAGTCGTGGGTGATGTCCACGCACCGGCCCGAGGGCCTTAGCTCAAAGACTTGAGCCATATCCAGGACAATTTAAGACATATGACTCATTCTAAAATCGAATGTGTTGGTCCTATTGTTCCAAAACAGAAGAGTTGTGGTCAGAAGCTCGGGTTTGGCTATTACTGTGACCTTAGAGAGCATGATGAGCTCATAAATGCCATTGTTCATCCACTTCTTCTTCTAGATGGGCTCGAGCTCATTCACCCATTGCGCCCAAGCTTCATCGTTCATCAGGGGGAAGCCTTTTTGATGATTTAACCACTTAAAGGCCAAAATACCAGCCTCGGCCTAGTAGGGATTTAGGGTAAACCAAGCAGCAAAGGGCATGTTGCTCTCCACAGCATTTAGGACTCAGGCAGTCCAGGCCGGTCCCAAGGAATGTACTCTCTCGTTCTCAAAGAAAATCAAAGAGTTCAGGCCTGCCCGAGGGCGATGAAGGTCGTTGAGTCGACAGTGCATGGTGAAGATACCCTTACCAGACTCACATGCAGGATGAGTTTTAGGGGCCATTATTTGATTTCTAGGTAGGAATTGAGAGAAAATTGAGGTTGGAAAGCAAAAGATGAACTGCGATTGCGAGAAAATTCTAGAAAATCTTGGAAGTTTGGAAACTAAAAAAATAGGATTGCTACAGGTATTTGGCCAAGATGTTTAAATGAAGATTATATAATGGGTAGTTATTTAACATTATAGATCGTGTGTTAGTACAAAGGTTTAGTTAAAAAACGGATGTTTAAAGTGATGCAAGTCCCGAGTCAAAAGCATGTAGTTAGTTTTAATCATCATTAAGTCCTTAGTTTGCAAACTTAACAATGATTAAAAGAGGTACTGTTTGGGTTAATATTTGACAATGGGTTTTGCTAGTGACTAAGGCCCAAAGACGTCAAAATGAGTGGAGACTTGCCCGAGGCCCAATCGACAAGCTTGGAATAAATTGATGCCTCCTAAATTAAAATATAGGCCACATGCCTAGGAGTGAAGTGACAAGTGAGGGAGACCAACTCACTATTAGCCAAAAAGCACTTTCTAGTGGCACTACAAGTAAAAAGATGATGACTTACTACCCTTGGAAGCCTTCGGCCAAGAACAAAGCTAAACGCAGTCGGGCCAAATCGTCTATAAAAGGGGAAACAATTACCAGAGACAAGGACACTTAACCAATCAAACTCAAAAACATACAAACTCTGTTTTCAAGCCAGTTTGTACCCAGAAAAGCTGAAACTCGCCCATATTCAGTTCTTTTAGCTATATTCCCCATAGAAAAGCTATCTTTTGTCTGTTGTAAAAGCTCTGCTACCTTCACTTAGTATCGTAGTATCAAATCCCTCATATAGAACTTAGTTATCAACCACCCTTTTAGCATACAAACTTTTGTGAACTTAAAGAGAAGTGGCTGCAAGAAGTTCAACCTTACCCGACAAGGTGAAATCTTGCCCGAGTCTCTTTGTATGTACTTGTATTTGGTAGATCTATTGCTATATGCACTTTTCATTGTATATTCAAGTCGTTATCAACTATTTTCCACCTAAGAATCCCATTTACATTCGAATCTGGTTAAGTTAAGAAACCTACTTTCATTGAGAACAAACCGTATTTGAGGACATGGTTAAAAAGGTCTTGAACTCTCTTCGTCCTGAACATACAAGATTATGAACTAAAAGTCCTTGTTTACAAGGCAAGAAAAAGAACTTAATGCAGACTTAACCCATCTGTGACGATCCCTTGATAACAAGAAGTTTAAGTGACTTGGGGAGCAAGTAATTGACTTAAATCACACGTACTCAACATCTGTTATACTGAGATAATAGTGGCATGCCTAAATGCTTGTTAGTTTTGATTGCGAACCTCAAGGCCTATATCAAAGGCCCTACAAAGGCACCTTTCAAACTAACTTTGAGCTCTTCTTGTAGTACACCAAGTAGCAAGAAGTCGCCCGACAACCAACCTCAACCTAAGTGCCAAACCTCCCAGAGGAGCCGTGCCAAGGCCAAATCCTTTCCCGAACAACATGATGTGATTGTTGATAGTTGAATTTCATTTTTAATAATCTAGCATTACTCTTCTTAACCTACCTAATTATTTAAATAAAAGTATAAGCAAGCTCCCCTAGAAAATTGTGTAACCAAAATTTACCAACCATTATTTTGCTCCTACATACTTGTACAATCATTTGTATCGTCTCTCTAATAGAAGTAGGATTCACTAACACATATCGATCTTATCTTTATTAGAAATATGATACAAATATGGTAGTAAAAATAGCAATTTTGATTTATTATAGATTTGTAATTAATAAGGATCTCCTCCTTGAATAGGAATTTTATGTACCCAGACATTCTTGTACTTGTGTGTGTGTGTGTATTTCCTCCCAGAAAGAAGAAAAACATAAGATTTAAAGCCCTAAACTCTCATATAGTTTTACTATCTTCGTATCAGCAGGTTTTGGCCTTTCTCTTCCCAAAAAATAAAAAGTCCTAAACCCGAAAAACCTATTCTTGCAATGTAACATCCTTGGCTGCCAGGCCTTATAAACTGCATTTGGACAATCAATCCTACCAAAAACCTAAATTTACCCAATGCCGCTTTATGTTTTTTTAAGCAGCATAAAAATCTTAATCATTGCCATGCAGTTTGTTCCCAAAAGTTGGCACTAAAAATCTTAAACCTAAGCCTACATCACCAATCCGCTGCAACCATGGGAGAGAATACAATATTGTCTCTTGTTGATAATCAGGATGATTCAGGAACTCGGAAAGTTCTTAATTGTGTCTAGAGATCGTGACTTTGGTTGGATTATTGATTTCGATACTACTGACCACCTAACGTATGACAAGTCTCTCTTTCAATCCATGATTTCTCCTCTAAAAGAAAGTGTTGTCACTGCTAATGGCTATGTTATCTCAGTAACAGGGGCTGGTCCAATTGCATTTATCCCATCTTTAACCTTACACAATACCTTTCTTATTCCGACATTATTAAATCATCTTTCATCAGTCAGTCAAGTTACTGAACAACTGAATTGTATCCTACTAATGTTTCCTTTTTTGCTTACTTCAGAGTATCCGGATGCAGGCTATAATTGGATGTGGTACTAAGAGAAGAGGGTTGTATTATGCTGAAGATGTGGCTCCCAACAGAGTGAATCAAGTACGTAGTGTAGTGGGAATGGTGACAAAAGTAAGAAGATTTGGTTAAGACATCGCAGACTTGGGCATGCCTCATTTAGCTATTTACAAAAGTTGGGTCTATCATTATTTATTAGTATTTCATACTCTAAACTAAAGTGTCATGTATGTTCTCTAACAAAGAGTTATCAAACCTTTTATCCATTGAGTTCCACTAAAAAAAAACCGTTCCTTTTGAATTAGTGCATTGTGATGTGTGGGGTCCCTCCCCCGTTTCAACTCTAAACAAAATTTGAGGATTTTATTATATGTGGATGACTATACTGGCATGACTTGG